ACTTCAAGAATGAAAACAGAACAAAGGGAAAGAGATTTAAAACTGAACTTGAAAATTGAAACGACAATCAAAAACTTAACACGTCTTAAATAAAAACAAACATGACAGAATGAGCAAAATACACACAATCAAAGGGAAAANAGGGACTTCAAGAATGAAAACAGAACAAAGGGAAAGAGATTTAAAACTGAACATGAAAATTGAAACGACAATCAAAAACTTAACACGTCTTAAATAAAAACAAACATGACAGAATGAGCAAAATACACACAATCAAAGGGAAAACTAGCACGACACATTATGAATATCAAACAACTAATGAAAGAAAAAGAAAGCCTGAATTCAAAGCTTGAACTTCACCTAACTTCATCGGAAGAAAGCTGATTGGAGAAGGGCAAAAGAAAGAGAATAGGACCAGATGGCAAGACAATGTAACCAGAACAAATGAAGGAAACTTATCAACATGAATCGAAAAATCAGTGGAGACCAGGGATATGACCAAACTAATATTGATCCCTCGCTCTTTGNCCCCGCTCTTTGTCAAGAACGAAAGAACAATATTGTTTCACCAAGTCCAGACTTCAAAACTCGCAGAGCAAACAGACCCCAAGGTCATGCATGTGAACGGGCTTAACAAAACGATTTCGAACTTTTAGGAGCCGAACCCGGATTCAACATTCGAAGAGCTTGAAGGTGATTCAAGAGTCAAGAGTTTGAGATTGGGAAAGAGAAGACTATGGGGATTCTGGGGTGTTATTTCGGGGTGATTTGGGAAAAGTTAGGTTTTGGTCTGGTTTTCGATTTAAGATTCGAGACGAACCAGTAGGATTTGAGGGGAGCTATGTCGAAATTTGGAAAGAGGAAGGTGAGGGGGTTCTAGGGTGTTAAGATGGGGATGATTGGAGTGGTCGCCGCCATCTTGAGGCGACGGAAATGGAGGCGGCATCGTTAGGGTTTGCAGGTTATAGTCTCTGTGAAAGAGACGATAAGGGGGTAGGGGGTGCGTTTGGACACTTTTATACGTGGGCAACCTGGCTTCCCAACCGTTGGATGAGGAAGACCTCGATGGTCTTGATCTCCCTTAAACGAAACGAGGTCGTTTGGATGGTGAGGGGAGGGGGTGGATCGGGTCAGTGTGACTTTGGGCTGGGTATCGGGGCAATTTGGACGGGTTTCAGGGGTGCAGGGGTTTGGGCTTGGAGATAATTCAATTAATTTTGGCCCAAATTCCTTTTCTTCATTTCAATTTTTCAATTTTTTCTAATTTCTTCTAAATTAAAATTAAAATAAAACCTAAATTAATTCCTAATCAAATTATCCTATCAAAATAAATTAACTAACTCTCAATAATAATTACCATAACTAATTAAATACCAAATTAAACAAAAACTACCAAAATTCGAAACTAAAAATTTAGAATGCAAAAATACGTTATTTTTTGTGATTTTTCCATTTTTATAAAACACTAAATTACTAATTAATTCAAGAATGAAAAATTAGATCCTAAATGCAAATGTAGTGTATTTTTTGCATTTTCATGAATTAAATAAAATAAACATGCACAGATAAATGCAAACAATAACAAAAAATGCTACAAATATCTACGAAATTGCAAAAAATGGAAAAATTTATTTTCTTGAATCTATGGGAATAATTCATATAGGGCAAAAATCACGTGCTCACTATATATATATATATATTTATTTATTTATTTTTGGCTATTATCTTGAGAGCGGCTATACAATATTATTTCGGGAGAAATTCAAAAATAGCCAGATTTATAAGTGGTCATTCAAAAATAGCCACAGTTTGAAAAGTCATCAAAATTTAGCCACTTTTCATGTAAAGATAAATCTGCACGAAAACACTATTCAAAATCTGAAAAATACTCCAGTATATTATACACTGTTCACACGAAAACACTGTTTAAAATCCAAAAAATACTCCAGCAAAGTATACTGGAGTATATTATACTGGAACTCTGATATATTATATTGGAGCCAACAAAGTATATCGGTCCAGTATAATATGCTGAAAGTTAATACACAGGTGCATCGAACTCCAGTATATTATGCTGGACCTGTCTGTGTTGCAGGAAAATAATCACTATTTTTTAATAATTTAGTAAACGCTTGCTATTTTTGAATGATCAGTCCAAAAACTGACTAGCTCGTGCTCTTTTGACGTTATTCCCAAAAACTAATAAATAAAAAGCCCACCTCCTCTCCTCACCAAGTAAAAAAAAATACAATACGACAGTAAAATCTCTGCATGAAGACATAATACTCCAATATTTAAGCTTGTTCCTGCTGTCATGAGCAAATCCTGAGAGATGAGTCGATGACCGATGTCACAGTAAGCACTCAAACACATTTTATCATAGTCATGTGACAACCTAATGTGAGATAATATATCAGTTAATCATCATTAAGTGATAAAAATTTGTGTAAATTAAAAGACACATTTATGTATTACAGCAAAATCACTGATCAGCAAAATCACTAATCAACGCATCAGATCCCTCTAATGTTGACATCTCACTAAAAAGGAGCAAAATACGTAAGTTGGCACTATGGACCAAATCCTTATTACACACTGTTTATGGGCAAAAATAATATTACATACAACTTTTCAAAAGCGTGTCTAATACACAGGTCACTTTTCTCAATAAGTGTATACTACGCGCCAATAAAATTTTGATAAGTGTCATCAATTACAAATAAACACATAAAAACGATACTCCATCTTCTCTGACCTACAACAACAACAACAATCTACTAAAATCTCACAAGTGGGATCTGGGGAGGATAGTGTGTACGCAGATCTTACCCCTACCCCCAAAGGAGTAGAGAGGTTGTTTCCGAAAGACCCTCGGCTCAAAAGAATAAAATGACAAAAAGAGACGATATTAGTTCTCCGACTTAGTCGTCAGAAAATTCTGTCAAAGCAAAGCCAGAAATCTTGCATTTTCAACTAGCAAAATGATAAACACCTAAAAAAAACCTTCCATTTTCACCCAAAAACAACAAATTTTCATTTCATCTTCAAAATTCATGGCTGCCAGCAAAACATTAACAACCACCGACCATTTTTTTATCAAAGGATTTCAGACTCCTCCTGACCCAAATCTACCACCAACAGAAACAATATTTTCATATTCAGAAGAAAAAAAATGAGTATAAGTCCCTCATAATTTGGATTACTATACTTCAGGCTTGTAAATTTTTGCCAATTTCAAGAACCCATTTGAGTTTCGAATCAACAGCATAAATTCCAATTAAACAATTATAATTGTAAGGTGAGAATATCTCATGAAGGGACAGAGAGTTCTGTACAAATAAAGGTTTGAAAAAAAAATGAAGAAAAAATAAGAGAAAGGATGAAGGTGGAGGTTGGCCGGCGGATAAAACAAGACAGAGAGACAGAGGGAGGGTGGGGAAGATAAGGGATTTGCTGACACATGCCATTATATTAAATAAATATTTAGACAATATTTTACGTGGTACACGCTTCTATCTTGGTATTTTACACATGTTAGGTCTTGGTCAAATAAGGTATATATTAGACACACTTTTAAAAAATTAAGTGTATAATATTATATTCACTCACAAAAAATATGTAACAGTGATTTGGTCCATACTTCCGGTGCCAATTTACGTATTTTGCCCAAAAAAACAAAAAAAAAAGTTAAAGGTGTCAAGAGTATCCATAGTACCAACATCCTACCAGGCTTCATATTGGGTCATTCTTGAAAGCCAATAGTTGGAAGTAGGGGTGTTCATCGTTCGGTTTGGATCGGTTTTTCCCTAAAAAGAAACAAAACCAAGTAAGTTGATTTTTTAAATATTAGAACCAAACCAAACCAATTAAGTTGGTTTTTTCTCGATTCGGTTTATGTCGGTTTTTCGATTTTTTCAATTATTTGTCGATTGTTTTTTTTAAATGTAAGACATACACTATCAAACACATATTTCGGCGACTACATTTTTAACATAACATTATCAAATCAATTGCCCTTTAAGAAATCTATTATTTATCAAGATATATTGATGATAATTGAATCAAATAGTGATGAATAATTTAAGGACTCAATTAAAAATATATTATTTTTAACATGAAATAGATTCTTACACTTAACAAAAGAAAACTACCAATCAAACTAGAATGTAAAGGTAAAGAGCTGCACTAAAAGTGCAAACGATTAACATTTACTATAAAATTTTTGAAACTTTGTATAAAAGTACACATATATATAGGTGTAATTCTTAATTTTAAATAGCTACTCCTATATTCGATTTGATTCGATTTTTTTTTATTAAAACCAAAACCAAACCAAATTTGATCGGTTCTTAAATTTCAAAACCAAAACCAAACCAAACCAAACCATGATCAATTTGGTTTGATTTTCAATTTAGTTCGGATTTTTATGAACACCCCTAGTTGGAAGTATAGCTTCATTCTTAAGGAATGAACATGATGAAAACAAAAGAAGGGCAGGATATTGTATTTCCATTTAAATAATATATATACAATACTCCGTATTATCCATTATCAATGTGAAGCTACTTTTTATCCGCCGCGCACAGTTATAACAAAAATGTCTCTTGCCGAGGATTATCAATCTGTTTATATTATTAGTTCATCCCCCTATTATAATTTACCATCGTATTATCATATCACCATAATAAGAATTCAGCCTTAAATTTAATTAATGAAATATGGAGTATTAAAGGTAGCAAAGCATAGACATTATATAGGTTCTAAGGGTAGCGTTAGAATTTTAGTGGACCTTTTATGACAGACATCTATGCTGCACTGGTTGCTCAAGCAGGGAAATTTTGCTCTGGTATCACCTCCATCATATGCGCAAGTACACCCCCACCTAACCACAATATCCTACGTGCAAGTTCATGTACAAGAAAAACCTGAAAAGTGAGCAATTCATCTAGACACATATGTAGCCGATAGCTGAAGAGTGCAACTTGTACTAGGGCAACCAAAATTAAGGGCACAAAGAATAATCAAAATTGCTCAAACATGTACTTTTGCAATATTTATAGAAAATGACTCGTAAAGTATAGACATTCACCCTGCAACTCGAAATACTATAGACAGACTCTTTTCAGACAGACTGCAGATACATCTCATGTGCTAACTGGAAAAGGGACTCCGCACTCTGAGAAGCTAATTCACTGATAATAACTTCCATACTTTCACCAAAACAACACAAGCAATGCAGGGGAACCGTGTATAAAATTCCCAAGATGCCACTGCTGTTACCTCTTGACTCTTCACGCCGTCTTATTTACCTGTCATATGGAGTGACCCCACCTCGGCACCTCCCCTCAACCACGACTGACTCTTGACCCGGACTGACCAGACTCAGGGAGGTGATCTGACTCGACTAGTCATGACCGCAACACCAACATGTCATCTTCAAACTGCATTTCTCATCCACCATTCTCGGCCCCTGCATATGTTAATGCTTCAGGTGAGCAAAGGATTAGCAAAAATGCCTAGCTTTTCGATCCAACAAGAGCATGCAGATTAAGGAATAGGATAAAATGTTTCGCACACAATGTTATGCACCTGTTAAGGAGAAAAATTTGGTGGATGGATGGCACAACTTTCAACCAAACTTGAATCCACCAGATGGTAGTTGAATGTCATTTCCGCCAAAATTGAACCCAGCTTGTGTTTCATCACCTGCTGGCAATGTTTCGTCCTCCTCCTCCAACCAGTACGTTTCCAGTATCTTAACAGCCTTCTCATATATCTCATTGTTATCATGACTCTGAAGGTTTTCAATCTTTTCCAATCCCTCTGCATCGTCGGTCAGCTGAGCATAGTAATTAATGCCTCCAGTGTTTGCTTTTTCTGCTTCCCCAACCTTCAATATGTTTTCTAATCCTTCCAGACAGACGGTGACAATCCTTGGATCAGGGCACACTAGCAAATCACATAGAGGCTTTATGCAACCCTGACTCACCAAGAACCTGAAGCCAAAAGCACAAGAAAACACCAAGTTCAGTAATATTATCAGCAATATCAGAGGGATGATTACCCAAAAGAGAGGTTACATACTTGATCTGCTCATGAGTCCCACCAGAAGTAGCATTTGAAATAGCCCAGGCAGCCTCTTTTTTGATATCAAATTCTGCAGTTTGAAGCAGATTGACCAGGGGAGCAATTAATCCAGCCTCAATTACAGCCTGCTCAAATGTAAAAAAATACATTATTATTTAGATAAATGGAAAATGCACTGGTGGTTTCATCAATTGAAAAGTCTATCAACAAAAGCAAAGAAAGCTGGGCTGTGGTGAGAGGGCGGTGCGCATTACTACAAAGCATCTCCACAACTCAAAACCCATTTCAATTTCAAACTATTACACTCTCATATTCACCTATTTAACCACCCATAAATTTGCATAATATGTTATAGAACTTAGAAGACATGCAAAGAAATGTATGCAAGAGAAGTACCTGTATCTGCTCCTTGTTCCCAGCAGTAATATTGGATATGGTCCAGCATGCCTCTTTCTTGATGCTCTTTTTGTGATTGTGTGTTAACAAGCTCAGCAGGCAAGTAAGGGCACCATGTTCAATTATGCACTGGATTGTGAAGATAGTGGACATTAGTCAAAAATACAGTAATATGCATGACTAACACCACTACATTTAGCAGAAGGTTTAAGAAAAAAGCAAAACAAAAATTCATTTTTCCAGTGTGGTCTCACACTGCACTCATCCTACAATTTTAGCACATAAAAAAGGATGATATATAGCTGAACAGGACAGCAGAGGAAGACAGATAATTGATGATCTCCACCAAACCGATCCCAAGACACTGGCAATTTAACAAGGGTGACTTAAACTCGCTTTCCCTTTTGTACCTGACAATTAGATTCTCCTTTCAAGCAGCATATAACTTCAAGTTCATATTTTGAAAAACGAAACCATGCTAGAAGCACCTAGTGAGAAGCACATAACTTGCAAAACACCTCTTGAGCATCTTATGACATTAACATATCTCAGATAAGCATAATGCCTCCACAGCATCTTAAGATACAAAGTATAAGTTCCCACTTGAGAGCATATGACAAACTATTTGGAACAGAGTAATTAATATCGCTGCGTGAAAATTTAAGGAGCGCCATCTTATCAGTTTAGACTTGTTTTGCCCAAAGAATTTACTTTGAACTATCTGAAAGTTATTGAACTTTCCCTTTGCTTGATCAGAAAAAAAGATGGACGTCTGGCTAAAAGAATACAATTGAAACAGGTCTGTGACATTCCATTGTTACAACTTGTACAGAGTTGAGAATTCTTTTAAAGTTTCAACTTTATACAAGACATATATTTGGAAAATATTAGGAACTGAGGCTTATCTTTGGAATAACATGGAAACCACAACTGGTCCACAATTAGGTAAAGATATTAACATGCTTACAGCTTATAAATCGTTTTTTCCTGCCTATATTACATACACTATGTTAAGTGAGGTGCCATAAACACTAGCATTTTGTTTCTGGTAAACCATACAGAAATACTCGACTGCAAAAAAATGTACTAATGTACTGTCATTTCAAGCTCAAGATTAGATAGTCACTGATTAAGGATGTAGAAAAAATAAAATAATAACGGTGCATGTCTTGCTGCAAATTACAGCACTAAGACAGCCACTTTCAATAACTGTAGATTTAAGTATGCTACTGCATATTACAACAATAAATAAAGTAAATTAATCTTGTCCACAAAATTATAAACTAAGAGCAGGTGTTCGGCAATAAAAATGATAGCTACAAGTGCAGATGGTACTAGACGGGCGGAGCTACCATTTTGGTTACGGGTCATTCGGCAGAAAGGTTTTGTAGCTTTGGCCCAACCTTTGCATTTGCGTTAAGAAATTCACTTAATATGTATAAATAATCTACCCAAAACCCAGTAAGCTGCGTTTTCTAGAATTCAAAACCAATAACTCAAAGTTCTGGATCCGTATCGTGTACTACTCACAGTGTGTTATACGCTCGCCTAAAGCGTGCTTAAGCCCTGAAGCTTGGTGAAACGCAGGTTGTGCACTTCGCCTAGCCTAATTGGCGCTTTAGTGTAGGTCTCAAGGTGTTAAGGCGAGTGTCTTCCACCAATGGGTTCTATCTTTAAGGGTACAGTTATATATAGCTAATTATAGTTTTTCCGTTTGTCCAAATAATTATTATTTGTGTCTATGTTTACATTTTTCTTGCAATACATTTCTGTTTCTATTTTTTCTTTGGCGCCTTTCTTCGCTATAGCCCATGCTGCTTTGCGCTTAAAGCTCCATAAGACATTGGAGCCTTTTCGTGCTTTTCGCTTTTGGCTACTACTAGATTGCTCAGATGCATAGAGAACGGGCCTAAATCCAGGAGTGAACCAAGCACAAAGCTATAAAGTTTAGAAATGGACTGAAGATGATCAAATTTGAAGTTGATTCAGGGAATGCTGAAATATCTTCACAATATATATTACATCAGATGTTTCCAACTTTCAACATTTTATTTTATTTGTCCCTTTTTTCATTAGTCAATTCATCAAAGTGTTTGGCTACAACCATGAAAGCTTCTAAAAGCTCCTTAAGACCTACATACCTGAGTCTGGAGGTCATCTCCTGTAACAATATTTCCAACTGTACGGAGAGCAGGGATGAGTACTGAAGGAGACGGATGCCTGAATATCAATTGGCATTATATATCAGATTCAATCATAAGCTAAATACAAAAAAAAGTACATTGAATGAGGAAACTAAAACTTCCCACTCACATGAGGAGCTCAACCAGCCGTGGACAAACACCTGCTTCAATGACGGCTTGAATTTTGTCGTTTGTACCATCAGAAAGGTAAGAAAGTGCCCAGCATGCATCTGTTAGCACCTCTTCATCATTCGAATGAACGAGGCGCTGAAGAGCTGAAAGAGCTGGTCTCACCTGGAAAATGAATTGTCATCAGTAATGCAAAAACAATCCAACAAGGTCTCAAGGAAGACCAATTTTTTGAATTAAATACTGCAGGCATGAAAAAATTTCGACAACCATTACCAACCTGCTCAAATGGAGGTTGTGGCTTGCCTCTACAAAAGTTTGATAAAGTCCACGTGGCATTTCTCAGCATTGAAAGCTTGGCATGCTCGTTCAACTGAGCCAGCAAAGGAATCAAAGCCCCATTACTAAGCACAAGATCACGGCATCTAGGAGAATCGCCAGCAACATTTCCCAATGCCCACACAGCCTGTAATTGGAAAGAAAACACAATCAGCCTGCTAATCAACATAACTTCAGTCTATACGGCATAAGGGTCTACCAATTTTCAAAACACACCTGCTCACGGACATCATCACTTGGAGAACCTAGAAGCTTTACAAAAATTGGCACCGCCCCATGATCAATCACCACTCTGGTGTTCTCCGAGGTACCAGAAGCAATGTTTGTGAGAGCCCAAGCAGCTTCAAACTATGAATGCAAAACCACAACGATAAAGTGGCGAAGCTACAATGTGAAACGCTAAAGAAGGCACAAATAGAGTAATCAAGCATCACTCTCTTACCTGGAGCTGCGGAAAGTCTTCCCTCATTAGAAACTCAACAAATCGAGGAACAACACCAGATTGTATAACTTCCTCAATAGGAGGACTCCTTTCTGTTAATCATAATCCACAAGTTAAGTCATACAAAAAATTGAATGAAACCAGCATAAAAGAAGCAGGAGCAGGCTTAGTCATACCAATAGAGAGCAATTTACGGAATTGTGTGGTGGCCTCCAGCTGCAAATTGTTATCATTTGACCAAACACCAGCAACCATTGATGGAAGACTTTCCAACTGTAAACCAACAATTAATTACCATTCAAAACCACATTCACAATCAAATCAGCACAAATAATCAAGTCCCAACTATGAGATAACTGTGATTAAAAAATCATTTGATCCAAAGATCATTTATGAACGAGCTTTAAAACAGAATCAAACTAGCTTTTGCTCCTGATTAAATATTCATTATTTTGGACAGATACATGAACATTCATACAGCAGAAACTGATTTGGCCTTAAACATCAAACTGACTATCCCCTCATCCAGGGGCGGATGAACAATAGAAGCTGAACGCAGCAGCTCTAACTCAGACCCGTTATATGAGTTATGAAATCTACTAAATATGTACAAATATTAAATCTTGAACCCGCTAACTCAAATTGTCAGTGGGTTTAGTGGCATCTCGAACTCATAAAGTTCAAATCCTGAATTCACCTTTGCAACGTGATTATAAAAAAAATTGCATAGTTTGAGATTGATTAAGGAATTGATTGAATAAAGACTAACATATGGCTTTCCAAAAATGGCAAAGGACTATGACTAAAGCTCCAGGATTCAATTTTTACCAATCAAATAGCTAAAAATCCAAAATGGGTATGCGAAATATACTGATAAAACAAGACCCAAATTGAAGGGAAAAAAGAGAATTTACTATAAAAAAATAAAACAAAACCCGCCTTTTTTTCAACGGTGGATGTGTGGAGATTAGCCGGGAAGGGTTGTTGGGGTTGAAGGCCTTCCCTACGCTTCTTGAGCAAACTCTCTTCTCTCTTGCTCTTTCGGATCTCAACCATGTTGTCCTCTCGCCGGCGCCGCCCTTCCTCGGCGTCGACGGCGACCTTGTACCGGTTCCGACGAACCTCCGTCCTAGCACTTGGTCTCAGAGACATCTTCGAATAAAAAAGCGAGAACTGCAAAAGAGATAGTAACAGGGTATTACAGAAAACCCTTGAAGGACAAGATTGAATCGAGAAGAGAAAAAAGTATATATAGAGAGAGAGAGTATATACCAAATATTTTGGAGAGAAGACCGTGACTGACGAGGGTTTGGGAAAGAGTTCCTCTTCTAGTCTACTTCTCTTCATGGGCCGGGTCTTCATCTATTTTGGGTTCTTCTTCTGGGCTCAAGCCCAAGATTGTGTTCACAAATAGCAAGTTTTACGGGACATTTGCATCTATATCCAGTTTTTGAGTCACCTTTTAGCTTATACCCGTTTTGCACAAAAAATTACAAGCGTACCTATTTTTTGGGTAACTTCAGACATACTGGCCTGAAATAGCAAAAATTTATGTCTCAAGTTTGAACTTCAGAATTTTTTGCCTGTAGTGTAGCGTTATCAAAGCAAAACTTCAGATATTTTTACCAGAAGTTTGGCCTGACTTACAAGGCAATCACGCAAACTTCAGTTCATAGTGAAATGACAAACTTTAGTTCAATAAAACTACAGCATATTTTGGCTGAAGTTTTAGTTTTGTAATTGCTTAACTTCAGCATTCTAGGAGCTGAAGTTTTATTTTGTATTTGATGAACTTCAGCATTCTAGGAGCTGAAGTTTTATTTTGTATTTGATGAACTTCAGCATTCTAGGAGCTGAAGTTTTTGTTTATATTTGATGAACTTCAGTATTCTAGGAGCTTAAGTTTTTGTTTATATTTGCTGAACTTCAGCATTCTTAAAGTTGAAGTTCTGTTCTGTCTTTTTTTGAAGCTAGATGGCTTTAAAATACAACTTAAGCCTCGTAATCAATGGTTTATTATGAGATCCTCGTCAGTAATCCTAAATGAATTGAGGCCTTTATCTTTTTGATAAAACAAAGGACAGATTCTATGCTCTGACTTTGATTTATTATGGTTTTGTTTAACCAAAAATCTGAATCTTTGGTCAAAGTTAGAAAGAAATTCGGGTTATTGATAATCAGGAGACGAAAATTAAATATTTTTGAGAATGATGGTAAAGCAGTAAATAGATTTGTATTTCAGTAAGATCTCAATCGTATTTCGTGTCCTTACAGATGTTGAGTCTTTCCCCTTTTATAGTTGATTCTAGGAGAAGATATAATACTTTTGTCTTAATGAGGCAATTATGAGCAATAAATGATATTTAAAAGAAACGTTACGCAATCATTTCTATTTAATTCAGATTCTCTAACGTATTTGACATTTAATGCTGTATTTAAACTCTTTTACGTCATCAGATTCGTATCTTCAACTTCTTCTGATCTTTGATCTTTAAACGACTCGAATAGGTACGAGACTCGTACCTATTTTAGTAACGGTCCACACCTATGTTGCTTTCTTTTCCCCCTATCTGTTATCGCCCGTGCTTCTTGGCTATTTATTGCGTTTTGACCTTTTGACCAGTCCACACGTCATGACACGTCATCTTCAATCTTCAGACTCATTTTTTTCCCAATACAGATAGTCCCCCCACTTTCCATTTATTTATCCATTAAATATTTGGGAAGTGGACCTTCACAAAAAGGGAATTTTTTGTTGTAATCACTGCTATGACAGTACTGACGCCCCAGTTGTCTTTTCTATTTAATGCTCTGCACACGTGTCACCTTCCGATTGGTTTTGTAATTCTGCAGCCTTTTTCCAAGGTTTATTCATCCCTTATATTCACGAAGCGATAATTGCCTTTATTATAGGCTTTCCATCATTACACTTCTTTGCTTGACGGTTGCTATTATATACATATATATCCTTTTTCCCTTTGTCCTTTTCTTCATAAACCCTTAACAGATCTTTTACTCTTTATTTCTACTCCTTTCTCCTTGAGTTCATCCTTTTCTCTGCAATGGCATCTCCGAATCCTAACCCTAAAAGAATCCCAATTCTTGATAGCTTCCCCAATGCCCCTGTAAGACATAGAAGAGGAAGAGGTGGCAGGCTTCATAGCCTAGGATCCGTTCGCGGTGGTGCCTCTGGTTCTGTCATGCCTTCTTCTAGCTCCGATACTATTTCCAGAGGTTCTATCACTAAGAAATCTTCCTCTAAAGGTAAAGAACTTCCTGAGCTTCTTCAAGAGCTTTTAGTTGAGGAAATAGTACCCAACGACCTATCTTTTGTGAATGATAGGAAATCTCTTCGTGAGCAAGTTGTCAATTTAGAGAAAGCTGACACTTTCCCTTCTTTAATCACTGAACCTTTGGTTTCTATTGTTCGAAAAGATTGCAACTGGAGAAGTGATTTTCGTATAGTAATCCCTAATCCAAATCAAAGAATATCTTCTTTTAGGATTGGATTTTCTTTTGTTTATACTTACCCCTTCACTTTGGGATTTATTCCTGCTATTGACCNTGGGATTTATTCATGCTATTGACCCAGTCATACTTGATTTCTATCGTTTTTTCAAAATTTGTTTGGGACAAATTGGTCCCCTTGTATGGAGAACAGTGGCTTGTTTGAGGTATTTATCTGTTAAAGCCGGTGTTGATTTTTCCTTTCCCCACCTTATTCATCTTTACCACCCCAAGTTATTTCGCAATGGAGTTTTTACTCTAACTGCAAAAAGTAAAAGGGTCTTAGTAAGCCCTGAAGATGACAAGGACAGCGGGTGGTACACTCGTTATGTTGCGGTACGCACAGTTGATTTGGTGGGTGAAACAAATATCTCCTTCCGTGAGAAATGGAACTTTGCACGTAAGTTTTTTTTTACTTACCATTCTTACCTCTTAAGAATTTCAACTTCTTTTCTAATTTCATTCTTTTTTGCTTTTCTATAGCAACCATGGGAGATGTGGAACCCGTTCCTAATTTCCGTGGTTGGGTAGATTTAATCATGAAAGTCGTGCCTATGGAGGCGAGAACGTGGAAATCCATTTCCAATTTACATGGTTGGAGAGTGAAAACTCACGGTATGCGTCTCTTTATCATTTTTCGTATGACAAGTCCTTTATTTTTTCTAACTTATTTTTTTTTAAAAAATCCTTCTTTTTGTCAGGATTTGCTATTCGAGGAATGACAACCGAAGTGGCTACTGCCCTTCGAGCCTCTTCTGGTACTTCTCTTTCTGTGGAGAGAACTCAAGCTAGGCTGTCAAAGAGGAAAGTTGTAGAAGAAGATTCTGAGGACGATGAAGACGAAGACACCTCTTTGATAGCTAGACCAAGAGCCAAGAGACGCATAGAATCCGAGAATGAAGTTGAAGTTACCCCTGTCTGTGCCTCTCTTACTGAACCTGTTCATATTCCCTCTGAAGATGAAACCACTCCGAGGGACACCAACGAATCTATTCATCGTCTCTTCGTTGGTGGTTTTGAAAGTGGAGAACTAGGTCCAGTTTTAGATGAAGTTCCTCTTTCTTCCTCTGTTCCCATTCCTTCTTCTCCTGCTTTTTTACCTACTTCTTCTCCCTTACCTGCTTCGAGTCCTATGACTCCTGTTATTTTCACTTCTTCTACCACTCTTCCTTCTATAGCTCCCCCTTCCTCTGTTCAATATGCAGAGGAGGGTTCTAGTAGCAGAAGCTTGGCTATGAGGAGCGTTACGCTTGAAGTTCCTGCTAACAACAGCCTTTTAAGGAAGTCTGGTGGAGCAAATGACTGGCTTAGGCCTTTGATTGGAGATATTGAGAAGAAGAAGATGGACAGCCATAGCTGCTTAACTTTGATGAATGACATTGTTCATTAGTAAGTGAATGTATTCTTCCTTCACTTACTAACAAGTTTTTTTAAAAAAAAAAATTCTTATTTCTATGAATCGTCACTGCGGGCTAACCTCATTGGTACAGAATTGATGGGAAGAATTTCCCTTCTAGAAAAGAAAGCCCGTGAGTCTGAAAAGTTTATCCATGAGGCTGAGGAAATAGCAGGGGAGCACAGCTAGAAGCAGCCAATTGGAAAGAGCAGTTTGAGAATGCTCAGGGAACTATAGAAGAATTGCTAGAGAGTAGAAATCTCCTGGAGCAACAAAAGCGAGGTCTGACTTCTGAGCTAGCAGTTGCCAAGGCTTCTTCAAGCCAATTTGAGAAAGATAAGGAGCGCCTTGAGTGTTCATTTTCAGAACAACTATCAAATTGTAGTGAAGAGATCAGAGAACTTAAGGTACTCTTGGCCAAGAAAGAAGAGTATGCAGGGGAGTTAGTGCAAAGCTTGACTCAAGCTCAAGCTGATTTAAAAATCTCTTCTGATAAGGTACGTACCTTAGAGAGTTCTCATGACTCCCTTGAAGCATACTTTGAATCCTCTTTAGCTGAAAAGCAAGTGTTAAAGAATGATCTTGCTATGTGGGAAAGGGAGTATGAACTTCTTGAGGAGAATTTTAACATAGAGGTGAGTTGGGCTTTTCTAAACTCTCGTCGCGATGCTTTAATAGAGGCCAGTTAAGAAAACTTTGATTTAAACTCAGAGTTGGCCAAAGTTTTAGAGACCATTGAGAGAACCCAACAACCACTTGACTTTCCCTCTCCGTCAATTGAAGCTCCTGTGGCTGAAGAACCTTTAAATGAAGAAGCCGTTGCTATGGCAGTTGAAGTTGAAAATGTTGCAATTCCAGCTTCAGAGGGTGAAACTTCTATGACTCAGTCTGTGGAAGTTGAAGCTTCCGTGACTCTTGCTTCCCTCGTTGATCCTAATATTTCAAGCTCAGCTGAAACCGTTCCTGTTGCTGCTTCTTCAGAAGTTGCCACCGTGCCTGTGGCTGAAAGTGAAATTAATATTGCAACTTCTGATGTGCTAACCCCTTCAATTGGATGATGGTTTTATCCCTTAGTTTTAAGGGATTTTTTGGTGAAAGTCCCCAGTTATCATAATGGGGCACTTGTATAAACTTTTATTGACTAAGTTTCTACTTAGTCTTTTTAATTATATTAAGAAGTTTTGTTAGTACTTCAATGTGTTCTATTCTTAGCTTTTCCTTACTTATTTAGGACTTATAGAATAGTTTAGCATTTTTATCCTTTGAAAATGTTTTGTGATTCTTTTCATGACTTATTAACATGAGGTTTATAAAAGAGGGCCCTTTTATTTTATCGACACTTAATGAAGAAGACGTCTCAACTTCATAATGGTGTTATAATACGATGAAAGAAATAGGAATACACATGTTTTGTATGAAACAACTTTGGCAAGTTTTTATTCATGAACTTTAACAAGTGTTTGACT